CAGTCTTAATCTATTCAGCTAGTTACTACCTTGATCTTGGTGTTTCTGACACAAGATATCATAATCAATTTTGATGATGTACATTCAGTGTTAGTCTATTCATCTAGTGACAACCGTGATCTTGGTGTTTCTGACACAAGATATCAAATTCAATTTTGATGATGTCATTCAGTCTTAGTCCATTCAGCTAGTGGCTACCTTGATCTTGGTGTTTCTGACGCAAGATATCATAATCAATTTTGATGAAGTCATTCAGTCTTAGTCAATTCAGCTAGTGACTACCTTGATCTTGGTGTTTCTGAGGCAAGATATCATAATCAATTTTGATGAAGTCATTCAGTTTTAGTCCATTCAGCTCATGACTACCTTGATCTTGGTGTTTCTGACACAACATATCATAATCAATTTCGATGATGTCATACAATTCTTAGTCTATTCAGCTAGTGACTACCTTGATCTTGGTGTTTCTGACACAACATATCATAATCAATTCTGATGATGTCATTCAGTCTTCGTCCATTCAGCTAGTGACTACCTTGATCTTGGTGTTTCTGACACAACATATCATAATCAATTTTGATAATGTCATTCAGTCTTAGTCTATTCAGCTAGTGACAACCTTGATCTTGGTGTTTCTGACAAAAGATATCAAATTCAATTTTGATGATGTCATTCAGTTTTAGTCCATTCAGCTCGTGACAACCTTGATCTTGGTGTTTCTGACGCAAGATATCATAATAAATTTAATGATGTCATTCAGTCTTAGTCTATTCAGCTAGTTACTACCTTGATCTTGGTGTTTCTGACACAAAATATCATAATCAATTTAATGATGTCATTTAGTCTTAGGCCATTCAGCTAGTGATTGCTTGATCTTGGTGTTTCTGACACAACATATCATAATCAATTTCGATGATGTCATTCAGTCTTAGTCTATTCAGCTAGTGAAGACCTTGGTCTTGGTGTTTCTGACACAAGATATCATAATCGATTTTGATGATGTCATTCAGTCTTAGTCTATTCACCACGTGACTACCTTCATCTTGGTGTTTCTGACACAACATATCATAATCAATTTTGATGATATCATTCAGTCTTAATCTATTCAGCTAGTTACTACCTTGATCTTGGTGTTTCTGACACAAGATATCATAATCAATTTTGATGATGTCATTCAGTCTTAGTCAATTCAGCTAGTGACTACCTTGATCTTGGTGTTTCTGACGCAAGATATCATAATCAGATTTGATGAAGTCATTCAGTCTTAGTCCATTCAGCTCGTGACTACCTTGATCTTGGTGTTTCTGACGCAAGATATCATAATAAATTTAATGATGTCATTCAGTCTTAGGCCATTCAGCTAGTGATTGCCTTGATCTTGGTGTTTCTGACACAACATATCATAATCAATTTTGATGATGTCATTCAGTCTCAGTCCATTCAGCTTTTGACTACCTCGATCTTGGTATTTCTGACAAAAGGTATCAGAATAAATTTTGATGATATCATTCAGTCTTAGTCCATTCAGCTAGTGACTGCCTTGATCTTGGTGTTTCTGACACAAGATATCAAATTCAATTTTGATGATGTCATTTAGTCTTAGTCCATTCAGTTAGGGACTACCTTGATCTTGGTGTTTCTGGCACAAGATATCATAATCAATTTTGATGATGTCATTCAGTTTTAGTCTATTCAGCTAGTGACAACCTGGATCTTGGTGTTTCTGACACAAGATATCAAATTCAATTTTGATGATGTCATTCAGTCTTACTCCATTCAGCTGGTGAGTGCCTTGATCTTGGTGTTTCTGACGCAAGATATCATAATCAATTTGATGAAGTCATTCAGTCTTAGTCAATTCAGCTAGTGACTACCTTGATCTTGGTGTTTCTGAGGCAAGATATCATAATCAATTTTGATGAAGTCATTCAGTTTTAGTCCATTCAGCTCGTGACTACCTTGATCTTGGTGTTTCTGAGCCAACATATCATAATCAATTTCGATGATGTCATTCAGTTTTAGTCTATTCAGCTAGTGACTACCTTGATCTTGGTGTTTCTGACAAAACATATCACAATCAATTTTGATGATGTCATTCAGTCTTAGTCCATTCAGCTAGTGACTATTTAATCTTGGTGTTTCTGACGCAAGATATCATAATCAATTTTGATGATGACATTTATTCTTAGTCTATTAAGCTAGTGACTACCTTGATCTTGGTGTTTCTGGCACAACATATCATAATCAATTTCGATGATATCATTCAGTCTTAGTCTATTCAGCTAGTTACTACCTTGATCTTGGTGTTTCCGACGCAAGATATCATAATCAATTTTGATGAAGTCATTCAGTCTTAGGCCATTCAGCTAGTGATTGCTTGATCTTGGTGTTTCTGACGCAAGATATAATAATCAATTTTGATGATGTCATTTAGTCTTAGTCTATTCAGCTAGTGGCTACCTTGATCTTGGTGTTTCTGACACAAGATATCATAATCAATTTTGATGATGTCATTCAGTCTTAGTCTATTCACCACGTGACTACCTTGATCTTGGTGTTTCTGAGGCCATATATCATAATCAGTTTTGATGAAGTCATTCAGTTTTAGTCCATTCAGCTCGTGACTACCTTGATCTTGGTATTTCTGACGCAAGATATCATAATAAATTTAATGATGTCATTCAGTCTTAGGCCATTCAGCTAGTGACTACCCTGATCTTGGTGTTTCTGACACAACATATCATAATCGATTTTGATGATGTCATTCAGTCTTAGTCTATTCACCTAGTGACTACCTTCATCTTGGTATTTCTGACACAATATTATCATAATAAATTTAATGATGTCATTCAGTCTTAGGCCATTCAGCTAGTGATTGACTTGATCTTGGTGTTTCTGAGGCAAGATATCATAATCAATTTTGATGATGTCATTCAGTCTTAGTCTATTCAGCTAGTGACTACCTTGATCTTGGTGTTTCTGACACAAGATATCATAATCAATTTTGATGATGTCATTCAGTCTTAGTCCATTCAGCTAGTGACTACCTTGATCTTGGTGTTTCTGAGGCAAGATATCATAATCAATTTTGATGAAGTCATTCAGTCTTAGTCAATTCAGCTAGTGACTACCTTGATCTTGGTGTTTCTGAGGCAAGATATCATAATCAATTTTGATGAAGTCATTCAGTCTTAGTCAATTCAGCTAGTGACTACCTTGATCTTGCTGTTTCTGAGGCAAGATATCATAATCAATTTTGATGAAGTCATTCAGTCTTAGTCAATTCAGCTAGTGACTACCTTGATCTTGGTGTTTCTGAGGCAAGATATCATAATCAATTTTGATGAAGTCATTCAGTTTTAGTCCATTCTGCTCGTGACTACCTTTATCTTGGTGTTTATGACGCAAGATATTATAATATATTTAATGATATCATTCAGTCTTAATCTATTCAGCTAGTTACTACCTTGATCTTGGTGTTTCTGACACAAAATATCATAATAAATTTAATGATGTCATTCAGTCTTAGTCCATTCAGCTAGTGGCTACCTTGATCTTGGTGTTTCTGACACAAGATATCATAATCAATTCTGATGATGTCATTCAGTCTTAGTTCATTCAGCTAGTGGCTACCTTGATCTTGGTGTTTCTGGCACAAGATATCAAATTCAATTTTGATGATGTCATTCAGTCTTAGTCCATTCAGTTTGGGACTACCTTGATCTTGGTGTTTCTGACGCAAGATATCATAATCAATTTTGATAAAGTCATTCAGTCTTAGTCAATTCAGCTAGTGACTACCTTGATCTTGGTGTTTCTGGCACAAGATATCATAATCAATTTTGATGATGTCATTCAGTCTTAGTCTATTCACCTAGTGACTACCTTCATCTTGGTGTTTCTGGCACAAGATATCATAATCAATTTTGATGATAACATTCATTCTTAGTCTATTCAGCAAGTGACTACCTTGATCTTGGTGTTTCTGACACAACATATCATAATCAATTTTGATGATGTCATTCAGTTTTAGGCCATTCACCTAGTGACTACCTTGATCTTGGTGTTTCTGACGCAAGATATCATAATAAATTTAATGATGTCATTCAGTCTTCGTCCATTCAGCTAGTGACTACCTTGATCTTGGTGTTTCTGACGCAAGATATCATCATAAATTTAATGATGTCATTCAGTCTTAGTCCATTCAGCTAGTGATTGCCTAGATCTTGGTGTTTCTTACCCGAGATATCAGAATCAATTTTGATGATGTCATTCATTCTTAGTCTGAAAATTTCTCTACTTTTGAGATTTCTTTTTCTACTGAAAACATACACAAAACTCAATATCCTGATTTCACTATCCATGTGCCAGGCAAAGAAATGGCTACATTTTTTTTATATCTAAGATTCTCTGTGGACCAACAGAAATTCTATGTGGACCACCGGTAGTCTACCTGGATCATGTTGAGAATCACTTATGCAAAGGACCACAGAGATTTTTAGTCATTTTTTCTTTTTACTGTAGCAGCATATACGGACAATTAACATATTTTGGCAGGTGTATACACTTCAGATACTCACGCGCACACACACACATACACACACACACACACACACATTGTTTAATCCCCAAATTTTGAGCTTTATAATTTTGGTGCCCATGTTATGTTATTTATTGTATAATCATCTATAAGGAGTTATCTTCACCCCTTTGAATTGATTGAAGTGTTCAGTTCGAATATATGTGAACATGAACGCATAAAATGAAAAAGTGGAAGAAGCGTACAATGGTCGAAGCGTTGGGATTGTAATAAGCAAAGTGATTCGTATAAATAATGACTATTTTGATATTTTTGCCCTGTCAACAAAGGTGGGCTTTTACTTGCCAAATCCTCGTGATTCCATTTCCATCATGTTGGCTTTCAAGTGAATGAATACCAAAATAAACAGAATGTGTATAACAACGAAAGATGATGGAATGAGTAAAAATTTGTTAGAAGGTCACGTTGGCCTCAAGAACGGAAAGAAAGAAAGAAAGAAAGAAAGAAAGAAAGAAAGAAAGAAAGAAAACAAACAAACAAACAAACAAACAAACAAAAAACAAATAAAAACAAACGAACAAAGAAAGAAAAAAGTTGAAAAGAAAGATGGAAAGGAAGAAACAAACAAATAAAAAACAAACGGACAAAGAAAGAAAGAAAGATGGAAAGACACAAACAAGGAAACATACAGACAAAAGAACAAAGAAATAATGAAACATACAAACAAACAGATAAACGAACAAAGAAAGAAAGAAAGAAACAAACATACAGACAAAAGGACGAGGAAAGAAAGAAAGAAAGAAAGAAAGAAAGAAAGAAAAAAAAAACAAAGATACAAACAGACAGACGAACAAAGAAAGAAAGAAAGAAGGAAAGAAAAAAGAACAAACATACAGACAAAAGAACAAAGAAACAAACAGATAATCAAACAAACGAACAAAGATAGAAAGAAAGAAAGAAAGAAAGAAAGAAAGATGGAAAGAAAGAAAGAAAGAAAGAAAGAAAGAAAGAAAGAAAGATGGAAAGAAAGAAACGAACAATGATAGAAACAGACAAATAAACAAACAAAAAAGAAAGAAAGAAAGAAAGGAGGAAGGAAGGATGGAAAGAAAGAAAGAAATAAACAAACAAAAAAGAAAGAAAGAAAGTAAAAAAAATAAATTCTATATGTTGTCAAGTGCATAATATAGACATTTTATTCACAGAGAAAATCCTTTGCTTTAGAAAGTCTAGGAAAAAAGTCTAAGCAAAACGGGTTTCTGACTTTAAGATATTCATTCTTGGCACACAGGGAACCTTTTAACCAAATGAGAAAACGGATTGTTTGATTTTTTGGTTTTCGATTTTCTCCGATCCATTTCCGTTAAAGATCTTTTAGATTTCAGATTCTTTGGCGGTAAAAGTACTTGCTTTATTAAAGAAACTGTCTTCCTACTAACCTTGATGCAAGCCTATTTGTTAAGATGATTTTAATATGGCATAAAATTTTAAAAACAAAACTGGAACAGACGATGAAGAATAACGTCCTGCATTTGTCTTCTAAGTGAGAAATGCTGCTTAGTCTTGCAGATCCCTATTCGATTATTATATGTTCCGCGACTTCGATGTAGACATTAGATTTCAGGCTCCAAGAGACTAAAGCATTGGTCAAAAAATAGATCTACCCTTACAGATTTAAAGCTGTGAATCCCTGTGCCTGGGAGTGCTGGAAATCACATATTCTGGGTCAGTGGAAGAAACGCTCAAGCGACACAAAGATGAATAAAACTGGTGAATGTTACTCGATATGAATTATCCTTTGTGGATAAATGAATAAAGGATTCGGCTTGAAATTCAAAGAAGGTTACAGAGGATGACTGATACCAGAAGAAAGCCGGATGGTACAGCGAGCGAAGCTTTGTGAATATAACAATTATGATAAAGACGATGGTCCGAATAGCAAAGCATATAATAAAACCGGTACCTGAGGAAGGCCAGGGAGCACAACAGCTGAACTATTGTGAATATAACAAAGACATGCACGCTGATATGGACAGCAAATTATATAATAATGATAATTCCTCATTTAAAACATTTCGACCAAAATTATCAGTACTTGATGTTCTGTTTTGTTTTGGTTTGTTTTACGGCATGGGTTATGGGTTATTTAATGGGGTTAATTAATTTAATGGGGTTAATTAATTTAATGGGGTTAATTAATTTAATGGGGTTAATTAATTTAATGGGTCATTTAATGCCAACAAATATTTTATTGCTGATAATATTTCTGTTCAAAAATGTATTGCTGGTAATATTTTTTTTCTTCAAAACTGTATTGTTGGTAATATATTTTTTTCAAAAATGTATTGCTGGTAATTTTTGTAATGTCAACGAATACTCGTTGTCACTTTCGTAATGCTCGTTGTAGTAGAGACTTTGTAATCACAGATACAACTATAGTAACGCCGTTGAACAATATTGGTGTCAAACGCCTTCGAATAACACTCGCACTAATAGCACTTGCTCGATAATACTCGCTCAAAAAGTAATCCGTATAGTGAATAGATTAGAGACTAGCGATCCATATAGTATAGAGGATAAACTAAAAATACCGATCAATCTAGACGTCGCACAACGTCCTATATATGCGTTTCCTCTATGATCACGTGATATACTGGGATCGCCTATGTTTGCTCATTGGCGATCTATGTTCAAACTCAAGTGTCGGCAGGACACTTTATTCCTATATAACAGTAATATTCTTTTTCAAAATTGTATTGCTGGTAATATTTTTTCAAAAATGTATGGCTGGTAATAATGTATTGCTGTTAATAATTTTTTCTTCAAAAATTTATTGCTGGTAATAATTTTTTACAAAAAAATATGGCTGGTATTAAAACCTATTTTTACACTTTCATCGAGTTTTGACCCCAGTTTAGGGGTTAACTATTTCCCATAGTTAGGACCCTAACAGGTACTAACACCCAGGGTCAAGGTGCACCTGGGTACACCAGCAATTAAGATGTGGTTCCACGCTCCTCAAAACCTCCTGATCAGAGGCCTTGCAGTTGGATATAGTTTATGGTCTTGGCCAGGACGCGGATGTAGTTTAATGTCTTACCCAGGACGCGGATGTAGTTTATTGTCTTGCCCAGGGAGCGGATGTAGCTTAATGTCTTACCCAGGAGGCAGATGAAGTTTATCGTCTTACCCAGGACACTGTTTTCTGTCTTTTATCAGTACTTGAATACCAAACCACTGGAGAGTGAAGGTGGTTCAACTCTCTTAGCTACTTAGGTACTCGATTTCAGCTGTTTAATCATTCAATAAATCGTTTCTATTATTAATCTATTATTATTCCATAATGTTTCAAAACTGTTATCTCCAGAGATTTTTTAAAATTTTTACCGACTATTTTCAGACTATATAGGTTTTCGGATGAGACCGATCAAATATCCTGTAAAACGGGAGCTTGCTATGTCATGTAGCATCGCCTAGTTCATCTTAGTTTTTGATGCCACCAACAGTCTTATCGCTAACTCTACTATAAATGCATTCATGTACAATTATCCTGCACACATAAAAGAGTTTAGGCACACCCAACATCAAATATTTTCATTATCATACTTTATTTTTTTTTACTAGTAAACAAAAGTGATATAGATTATTTATAAAAACCTGACTGTAGTAAGATTTTATTTTAGTTTTTGAAATTTTTATGAATAATATTTTTTAATCATTTCACTGCGTGCAAGGCAATAAAGCCACTAAGACGCAAAGGGTTTCTGAGTGTGAAAGAAAAATACTATTACGGAGAGAGAACAAAAAATAACAAGAATTAAGAAGACAGAAGATAACGATTGACACTGCATTTAAATTTCCGAAGATCAAAGTTAACAAAACAATATGTCGGATGAGAGTTCCACAAGCGAGAAGTCCGAAAGAAGAAACTGTTAGCATAGGACCTACGGTTACATCTTACTATTTTAACTGTAAAATGATGAAACCTAGCTCAGCTTTACTATATTTTTTGTTCATCAGAACTAAAACTTTCTCTCATTCTTGTGTCAATGGTTTATATCTAAAAAGCTATATTATTATGATGTTATTGAGCATGCTGCATCCTGGAGAGTGTCACTAGTTTGAAAGGCATTTCATATTTATTTTCAGCAATTACTGATCAATACATAATTAATTCGGTTAATTTTGTTAATGGCACACGCAGTTTTGTTTGACATTTAGCGTAACTTCCATTGTTAATTCTCGATTCGTGGCCTTTCCATTAAAAATACGAGGAATTAAAGAAAAAGGTTTTCCTTCCAGCGGAACCCGATAAGGAAACCGGATGTGAAAAATATTCATATCGATTAATTCTTTGAGAGATGTTATATAAATTGGCATCTCTTCGCCTCCCCCTCTATCTCGATCATGGTTCTTCCCAGCTTCCTGTCTTTTGTCTCCATCAACTAGATTTGATCCTTTCCAGTCCGTATTCATTATTCGGGTCTTTATTCATTACTTGTTGACTTCCTTTATTCATGCTTTTATTGTGTCATTTGCGCGTTATATTCTCCAAGCCTTCTTTCTTCATTATGTTTCTCTGGAACTTCAATATTCTCTTTACGATTGGCGCATTTTTAAAATACATATTGTTATTAATATTACATCTGGGGACACGGTGGAATAATGGACAGCAGCTCGGTTTGAGGAATCGGAAAGACGAGTTCAAACTCAAATCGAATCCATTATATTCGTTTCGGCTTGACGGTCGAACTCTCTGCCTCTGAGCAGAGAGGAACCCGGACGAGGCTCCGCCGAAGAGCAGAGTCTCGTTCGGGGAGGTTGACCAACCCGATCCCGTTTATACGGGTTCTACGGGCATTTTTTGGCCGAGCCTACGGCCCCGAAAACCCACGTAAAACTCGGCCTTGTGCCACACCTTTCCATCGTGGGGGGGGGCAAGTAAATATCGAATCGAGTCGAGCCGATAGTTGTTCACTCCAAGCCAGACTGACAGTCATACTAACACCTTCAACATCTTGTATTATTATTTCGTGTAATATACCTTCGTTAATTCTACTCTTGTTGTTCTTTCTTGGTCCTAACCTGGACCATAACACACACACACACACACACACACACACAAACATACACACACACACACATATATATATATATATATATATATATATATATATATATTGCTGGCATTTTTACTGTCAAAATGTATTTTTATACTTTTATAGAGTTTTGTTTTTGTTTTGGGATTCACTAATTGCCCCTAGCTGGGACCCTAACAGGTGCTACCACCTTGGGCTGATTAATTAAGATGTTGTTCCACGCTTCTCTAAACCTCCAATCTCCCGATCAGAGGTCGTGCTGCCGGATTTAGTTAATCGTCATACCCAGGATTATTCAGTCTAGTACAACGCTTAAATTCCTGGAGTCGATGTACCAAAAACAAAAGCTCATCAAACAAATTAAATTACCATGCAATATATATTTTATTAGAAATGTCACAAAGAAGTAACGATACGGCAGTGGGAAAGTGATTGAGACCAAGATGCCAGGTTAGGACCTATAACATTACAACATCTGTAGGTACATAGAAAAAGTATCACTTTAGTTTAGAATTCGGAACACCACTACAGCAACAAGCATGTGGTGACCATTTATTAGTTGTTTTTCATTAAGTTTTTTTTATTTTTATTAAATGCTTTCACGTTGTTAATTTTAATTCTATCTCTGCTGTAACCTAGAAAAGGTTACTGTTATGGGGTCCTCCCCTTTTTCATATAAGTGGACTCGACCAGAGTGTTACTTGGACTGCTGCCGTGAAATACCCAGAGTCAGTCAGAATATAGGAGAGTGAGCAGAGATTGTGATTGAGTTGGAGGTAGAGTACTTCGAGACTATATATATATATATATATATATATATATATATATATATATATATATATATATATATATATATATTATTGCTACTAACCGCGTTCCTGGATTTACTAACAGTATTACCCAATTTATTATTGTGTAAATACATTTAATTTCTTATTTTTAATTCCTGCGTTTGTCATTCATATCCAACGAATTTATGATGACTGGGACATAACCATTAGTGTTCATAGGTACGGTATATAACAGTGACTTAATCTATATAGATGTTTTCCTGGAACTCTTTCAGATCTTCATCACATTTTCT